AATGTTCCAGAAGTTTCTCTTTTTGTATGAGTTCGGTGGATAGTTCTGTGACAGTGCGCTGAAGTTCCTCGGGGGTCATGGTGTTTACTGGTTTTGATGGGAGGATTGAAGCAAGTTGTGATTTGTATATCTGTTTGTATGAGTTCGCGGGGGGAGCATCGGTGTCCATGGTGATGTGTAGTGGTTACCGGTAAAAGGCTGATAGACAGTCCTGTTAAAAGTGACAGTAATCCTTTTTGATACAGTCTGTTAAAATCCGCGTAATCCGTCGAGCAGGGCGAATAAAAACAGTGATAGAAACTTAGTTTTAAAAATAACTCATAAAAATGTGCAACTCAAAAAAGGCTCCAAACAAATGCGTCCGCCATCTTGCGCATGGGCTTTTCCTGTCCAACATGCTAAACCACTCCCCATATGTACCTCCAAAACCACCTAGGGTTTCCAATTCACCTACAAAAACCACCTCAGCCAGTCCCTCCCCTAACCTCATGACCATTCCACCCCCACTTCCCCCTCGTTCAACACCCAAAACCTCTGCCTCAGCCCACCCCGGCCCTAACCCATCACCAAAAACCCCTCAACCTCCCTGCCCCCCTCGTTCAACACCCAAAAGCCACCCACCTCTCCATCCTCCTCCCCCGCCTTCCCCTTCCCCTCTTTTCTCTAAACACTAGGATGCACAGGGTCTCTGCTTCGCAGCCACTGGCAGTCTAGTTAGAGGAGAGACCCGGCTGGGGCCCTGTCATGAAGCCACCTGTGCCATTCCCTTAGTGATAACACAAAGAATACATTACAGAAAAACATCTGGAGTTAATCAGTCTAATATGGAAACCCTAATTCTTGTTCCGTGTAAGAATCAGCCGACCACAACCGCTGATACTGAAACTTTGAAACTTGCTACGCTTAATGTCAGATCTCTTTGTAACAAGTCTTTTTTAATCAATAATTAGGCCGAGCCAATACGAAGTATTGGGGAGGCCTATTGTTATTCACCGGTTTCATATTATTAGGCCGAGCCAATACGAAGTATTGGGGAGGCCTATTGTTATTCACCGGTTTCATATTATTATTAGGCCGAGCCAATACGAAGTATTGGGGAGGCCTATTGTTATTCACCGGTTTCATATTATTAGGCCGAGCCAATACGAAGTATTGGGGAGGCCTATTGTTATTCACCGGTTTCATATTATTATTCTTCTTATTCTTTTTCCGCCGAAACAATTCGCTTTTTGACCCTGAAGACATGCACGAAAGTCTGCACATGGGGGGTCTAAAACGACCGGTCCGGCGAAACATTTGATCAAACGGATGTTTCGAGATTGTCCGACAAAAGGCGAATCAATAGCGCCCCCTTGAAAATTCAAAATTTGCCATTTCTATTGGAGGCAGGATTGCATATTTTGGAGTAGGTACACGAAATTCGGATGAGTGATAGATCTCTATGAGACGAGCATAAAAGCCGGTCTAAGCACATGTCTGGGACCAACAGGAAGTCGGCCATGATGGGCCGAAGTTTCGCCACTAATTTGACTTTTCATTTAAAAATTCGAACTAGTCCCTGGTTTTTCATCACACAGAGTTCTACCACGTCATTTCCTAATCTGGACGGATTGAAGTTATATAATCATCGAAAAAAAGTTAGAAAATCTTCACCGTTTTCGTCCCTCGCCATGGCGAATAAGGCCTTCGTTTTGGCCATTTTCGCTGAGCCCTGAGGGCCACAAGCTCAGACCTACAGAGCTGAGACTCACATCAGTAATATTAGGTTATGGCCTGAACGCAATGACACTAAAATCATTCGCCCAATTTGAGCTCTTTAGCGCCACCTGTCGGAAAGTAATAGGGCACTAGTGCTCGGATCGGCCCGAAAATCGCTGAGTGTATTCTCTGGACCGAGACGAGCAAAACATTACATTATGCAAAAGTTGTAAGTCCTACACCTGACCACTGGGGGCGCCGGAAAGTGAATGAATGAGCTTTTTGGGGCAAAATGTTTGTCCGATGAGGCTAAAAATGAATTCAGAAATACAACGTATGACCCTGAACACAACGATATACAACACACAACTGTGAGTGCAACAGCGCCACCTACAGGCAGTTCAAGGTGTCGCATTTTTGGCTTCGTACTAGTCCCTGGATTTTCATCGCACAGAGTTCTACCATGTCATTTATCCATCTGGACGGATTGAAGTTATGCAATCATCGCATAAAAGTTAGAATTTTGTTATCGTTTTCATGCGAGGTAGTGGGGAATTTCTCCATGTTTGATGCTCTCCTGACCACAGGCTCAGACCTACAGAGCTGAAACTCACATCGCTAACAATTGGTAATGGCCTGAGTTTAATGGTGTGAAAACACACACCTAATATGACTCTACAGCGCCACCTATGGAAGGCTTCTGACCTAAACTTTTCCGATCTTCACCAAAGTTGCAAAATCAAATCTTTACATCTGTACGAGCAAAATACTGCTCTACGTAGAGGGTGCATGTCCCGGAGGTGACCACTAGGGGCGCACTTTATCATATAAATGAGCTTTTATGTACGTAATCCTGGTCAGATCGGGCTGCCAATTCGTCGGCGTGACGCTTGTGGGACCGGCGCCCGGGAGGCGGTCGCAAGAGGGGCGAGGCCTTTCATCGCCGCTTGCGGCTTTAATGAAAATTGTTATTCGGTGGTTTCATATTATTCTTTTTCCGCCGAAACAATTCGATTTTTGACCCTGAAGACATGCACGAAAGTCTGCACATGGGGGGTCTAAAACGACCGGTCCGGCGAAAAATTTGATAAAACGGACGTTTCGAGATTGTCCGACAAAAGGCGAATCAATAGCGCCCCCTTGAAAATTCAAAATTTGCCATTTCTATTGGAGGCAGGATTGCATATTTTGGAGTAGGTGCACAAAATTCGGATGAGTGATAGATCTCTATGAGACGAGCATAAAAGCCGTTCTAAGCACATGTCTGGGACCAACAGGAAGTCGGCCATGAGGGGCCGAAGTTTCGCCACTAATTTGACTTTTCATTTATAAATTCGAACTAGTCCCTGGTTTTTCATCACACAGAGTTCTACCACGTCATTTCCCGCTCTGGGCGGATTGAAGTTATATAATCATCGAAAAAAAGTTAGAAAATCTTCACCGTTTTCGTCCCTCGCCATGGCGAATAAGGCCTTCGTTTTGGCCATTTTCGCTGAGCCCTGAGGGCCACAGGCTCAGACCTACAGAGCTGAGACTCACATCAGTAATATTAGGTTATGGCCTGAACGCAATGACACTAAAATCATTCGCCCAATTTGAGCTCTTTAGCGCCACCTGTCGGAAAGTAATAGGGCACTAGTGCTCGGATCGGCCCGAAAATCACTAAGTGTATTCTCTGGACCGACACGAGCAAAACATTACATTACGCAAAAGTTGTAAGTCCTACACCTGACCACTGGGGGCGCTGGAAAGTGAATAAATGAGCTTTTTAGGGCAAAATGTTTGTCCGATGAGGCTAAAAATGAATTCAGAAATACAACGTATGACCCTGAACACAACGATATGCAACACACAACTGTGAGTGCAACAGCGCCACCTACAGGCAGTTCAATGTGTTGCATTTTTGGCTTCGTACTAGTCCCTGGATTTTCATCGCACAGACTTCTACCATGTCATTTATCCATCTGGACGGATTGAAGTTATGTAATCATCGCATAAAAGTTAGAATTTTGTTATCGTTTTCATGCAAGGTAGTGGGGAATTTCTCCATGTTTGATGCTCTCCTGACCACAGGCTCAGACCTACAGAGCTGAAACTCACATCGCTAACAGTTGGTAATGGCCTGAGAGTAATGGTGTGAAAACACACACCTAATATGACTCTACAGCGCCACCTATGTAAGGCTTCTGACCTAAACTTTTCCGATCTTCACCAAAGTTGCAAAATCAAATCTTTACATCTGTACGAGCAAAATACTACTTTACGTAGAGGGTGCATGTCCCGGAGGTGACCACTAGGGACGCACTTTATCATATAAATGAGCTTTTATATACGTAATCCTGGTCAGATCGGGCTGCCAATTCGTCTGCGTGACGCTTGTGGGACTGGCGCCCAGGAGGCGGTCGCAAGAGGGGCGAGGCCTTTCATCGCCGCTTGCGGCTTTAATGAAAATTGTTATTCGGTGGTTTCATATTATTCTTTTTCCGCCGAAACAATTCGATTTTTGACCCTGAAGACATGCACAAAAGTCTGCACATGGGGGGTCTAAAACGACCGGTCCGGCGAAAAATTTGATAAAACGGACGTTTCCAGATTGTCCGACAAAAGGCGAATCAATAGCGCCCCCTTGAAAATTCAAAATTTGCCATTTCTATTGGAGGCAGGATTGCATATTTTGGAGTAGGTACACGAAATTCGGATGAGTGATAGATCTCTATGAGACGAGCATAAAAGCCGGTCTAAGCACATGTCTGGGACCAACAGGAAGTCGGCCATGATGGGCCAAAGTTTCGCCACTAATTTGACTTTTGATTTAGAAATTCGAACTAGTCCCTGGTTTTTCATCACACAGAGTTCTACCACGTCATTTCCCAATCTGGACGGATTGAAGTTATATAATCATCGAAAAAAAGTTAGAAAATCTTCACTGTTTTCGTCCCTCGCCATGGCGAATAAGGCCTTCGTTTTGGCCATTTTCGCTGAGCCCTGAGGGCCACAGGCTCAGACCTACAGAGCTGAGACTCACATCAGTAATATTAGGTTATGGCCTGAACGCAATGACTTTAAAATCATTTGCCCAATTCGAGCTCTTTAGCGCCACCTGTCGGAAAGTAATAGGGCACTAGTGCTCGGATCGGCCCGAAAATCACTGAGTGTAATCTCTGGACCGAGACGAGTAAAAAATTACATTATGCAAAAGTTGTAAGTCCCACACCTGACCACTGGGGGCGCCGTAAAGTGAATGAATGTGCTTTTTAGGGCAAAATATTTGTCCGATGAGGCTAAAAATGAATTCAGAAATACTACGTATGACCCTGAACACAACAATATACAACACACAACTGTGAGTGCAACAGCGCCACCTACAGGCAGTTCAAGGTGTCGCATTTTTGGCTTCGTACTAGTCCCTGGATTTTCATCGCACAGACTTCTACCATGTCATTTCTCCATCTGGACGGATTGAAGTTATGCAATCATCGCATAAAAGTTAGAATTTTGTTATCGTTTTCATGCGAGGTAGTGGGGAATTTCTCCATGTTTGATGCTCTCCTGACCACAGGCTCAGACCTACAGAGCTGAAACTCACATCGCTAACAGTTGGTAATGACCTGAGAGTAATAGTGTGAACCACAAACCCCCACACACACACACACACACACACACCACACACACCACACAACCCACAACACCACCACAACAAACCACAAACCCTCCACACACACACACCAACCACACCACACCCCCCCAAAACACACACAACACCATAAAACACTCACAAACACACACAAACACACCACACACACAATCACACAACAACACAACCCCCAAAAACACCAACCACACCAAAACACCAACACACACACCAAAAACCACACAAACCAACACACACACCACAACAAAACACCCACCCAAAACACACCAAAAACACCCCCCACACACACACACAAACCCACCCACAACCACACACAACCACACACACCACAACACACCCCACACCACCACACACAACCACCCAACCCCACACACACACAAACACCCCCCACCCCCACCACACCACCACACAACCCCCCCAACCCACAACAACCCCCCCCCCAACCACACAACCACCCCCCAACCAACCAAACCCCCCCACCAACCCCCAAACTCAACCCCCCCCCCAACCCCACAACCCCCAACCACCACCCCCCCAACCCACAACCCCCCAAACCCAACCAAACCCCACCACCCCAACCCAACCAACCAAAAACCCCCCCAAACCCAACCACCAACCAACAACCCCACCCCAACACAGCAAAACACAAACAAAAAAACAAAAACACAAAAAACCACCAACCACCAACCCCAAACCCCCCAACACACCCCCCAACCCAACCAACACCCAAAACCAAAACCCCCAACCCACCCAACCACCCAACACCCAAAAAAACCAACACCTACCCCCAACCACCCCAACACAAACCACACCCCCCAAAACTACACACACCCAACCACACACAACCTACATCAAACCCACCACCCCCCAAACCACAAACACAACACAACCAAACACACACCCAACCAACCCACCAACCCCCCCCAACATAAACCAAACCCCACACCACAACACACCCACCACACCAAACACAAAAAACAACAACACCACACAAAAACAACAACAAAGATGGAAAAAAAGAAAGGAGCTTTCTGATAGAATTGGACGTAACCAAATTCTGGGCTCACGTGTGCCCCGTACCCTGAGGCTGGCCTCATTACAAGTCGTGGTTTAGCGCGATTAAGACCCATATTTGTTGTCAAAAACACAATTTATGAGCCATCCTCTCAGCTGTAGACATGTTGATTGTAAATGAAATATGTTTGAACTTTGAACAACAATAAACGTGCTCTATAATAGGAGCGCACTGTATTTTTGTTTTAACTTTCATTTCCCGTTTCCCGTCATAACATTTCCCGGGAATCGGGAAATAGTTTTGATCAGATTTCCCGGGAATCCCGTGTCCCGGGATTAAACCCTAGGCGGGACAGACGGGACAGAGTATTCATAGATGGGACAGGTGTGGGGGAATCGGCATAATGGGTGACCGACATGGTTTTTGACCGCAACGCACGCACGCTACGCGCAGACTATTTGATTTGATTTGAAATAAAACTTTGGAAATGGATCTACGGCTACGTGTTGTGTTTGATGCTGTGAGTCAGAAAGCGGACACCCAAAGGATGGCTACATGATCGCTTAGAAGCCAACACAATACTCTATCTCTTCTTCCATTGTGTTGCATAACTTAATTTACACAACTTGTCCGCCAATCTTTAATGTTTTCACCAATACTTTCTTCTGAATCCTTTGTTTGTTTGTCTTCAGCAGTATCAAAACGCCAGTCAGCATCATGTCGTTGTGGATGATGCTTCCTCTCAGTCTTCCTGTGTTGATGATCACGGGAATCTGGGTCGTGTAAGTCTCACATCTATCCAAATAAACAGACACCTCTCTCAAGTTTTCTCCCCTCCAACACACACCAACTCGCACATGTGTATATACGTCTCTACACCAGGCCGTACCAACTCCCCTGCGCATCACATTAACCACTACCTTATTTGGAGGGAGATATGTGGAGGAGTGTCCACTTTAGGCCCTGTTTATACTGAGACGCTGCGCAGACGTTTCCAGGCTATAACAGAAACGACCAGGCTCCTAATGCAAATTTCTCAGCGTTCACATGAGGTTGAAAAACGATGTAGTTCTAGCGTCCGGCCAGTAGTGGGCAGAGAAACTTTACAACACTAGCACGACCCCCAGCCCCTGTCCAGCCCCCCTCTCGGCAGTATACTCACTTCCTGTACCAGACCCTCAGAACGTACCAACATTATTCTGCATTTTAACAGCAGCTGTGAAAATGGAAACTGAACCTAGAGCTTCGCGTGGTCTCGTTTTGACGAACGAAGGTGTAGAATTATCCTCTGTGCAGCGCTGGAAGCCCACGAAGCTAGTTAGTGTGACCGCCGCCATTGTTGTTTATGTTTGTTCTCCGCTACTGCGCATGTCCAAATTTACGTGCGGGAAGCAGCGGGGAGGTGGGAGTCAGAGCAGAGGGGGATTTCACACCTTTTTCCCTCTCGCGGGTGTGAAAAAGCTCCCTGCTGTGCAGCGTATCTGAGGCTGAGTTTACGCGGAGCCAATGTGGCAGTAAAACTGTATAGTTGGATGTCGGTTGCTACCAACCGTTCATACGGAGACTGTGTTTCAGGGGGGTGAAAACGTAAGTGTATTGTAACCACCAAATCCAGAATACTCACGTGATGTAGCGCGAGGTGGGATTACGAATCCTGGTCCGTTGAGCAGGGCCCAGAACACAGGCCACCACGTTAGCTGCTCCAGCCCCCGGAGTGAGCCAGGCATCCTAGGAGCCGAGCTCCACCCCAGAGTAACTGGAGGAGGAAGGTATGACCAGGACATGAAATGTGCACAGTTGATCAGGCCGGACACAGGTCACTCCCAAATCACTCTCCATACCACAGGTTGCCATTGTCTGGACCAGCACAACAGCAGCCACCATTCCACCACCCCATCGACTAACACCACAACTAAATTTAGAAAGCCAATTGTAATACCAAACATCAATTTGGGCCAAACCAATTATCCATTATCCATTATCGCTTTTGAAGGGATAGGGTGTTCAGATCCCGGACGAGCCCCCACTTTTGTTATGACCCAGCTCAGCTAGGGTGAGGGAGGTAACAAATGAAAACCAAGATGTTAAATGGAAAAGCAAGTATTTAATAAAAGGCAATGATACGTAGACAAAGCAAAAGGACACATGACAGGACATAAGGGGGTAACTCAGCGCTACCAAAATAAAGCCTACAATAAACACCAATACACAGAAATAAACACTAAACCTACTGTTGTCACAACTGATGCGAAGTGTCACGAAAACAAAACTCCAAAGTGACAAATAAAAAGAGACAAACCAAATAAAAGCTGTACGGACTAGGTCTCTCTAGTCATTGCCGCCACTGTGACAATGACAGACCATGAGGACAAATGGCATACCAGCCACACACAGGCTGGCAGCCCCAAACAGGTGTGGTGTGTGGCCTTAAGAAGGAGTGACTCCAGGTGAGGAAGCTGAATGGGCCAGGTGCACCGCTGCTCCTCTCATCAGCACCTGAGTCACGAACTTCTGGGAGGTGGGAGGGCCAGTGGTTGTCCAATGACAGGCCAGGGATCTTCAGACAGGAAGGTTTGCCACACACACACACACACAAACAGGGAGCAGTATATTCCGGGCCAGGCTCCTGCTCATGTGCGCATGAGATCCCCCAGGGCCTACGTACTGGTGATGGCAATTGGCAGCGGATAAGGCGCAGGCTCGAAGAATAATAATCTTTATTTTTATTTGTATAGCACTTTTAAAAACAGTGTTTACAAAGCGCTGCACAGTCAGCATGATAAACAATAAAAACAGTCATAATGCAAGGTCAAAATAATTAGATACAGAAACACAAAGCAAACAGAGCAAAACACAAAAGAGACTCAACAAAGACAAAGCAGACATTAAAATACAGCATCGGAAGTTTAAAACTAACAGTTAAAAGCTGTTTGATAAAAGTGGGTTTTAAGAAGAGATTTAAAAGAGGATACTGATGGTGCTAGCCTTATCTCCTTGGGCAGGTCGTTCCAAAGCCGAGGAGCCCGGACAGAGAAGGCTCGGTCACCTTTCGTCCGGAGCCTCGACCTTGGAACAGTCAACAGGGACCTGCCCGAGGATCTGTAAAAGTTCAGAAATATAGCTTGGTGCCAGACCTAAACGCGCTTTAAAAGTAATCAGTAAAATCTTAAAATCAATTCTAAAACGCACAGGGAGCCAGTGGAGAGACGCTAAAACAGGGGTGATGTGCTCCCTTCTGTTAAAACCAGTGAGAAGTCTGGCTGCTGCGTTCTGGACCAGTTGGAGGCGGGAGAGGGATTTAGCGTCGAGATTGGAGAGGAGGGAGTTGCAGTAGTCGAGGCGGGAGAAGCTGAGGGCGTTGACAACTTTATGGAGATCGGGAGGAGTGAGGATGTTTTTAATCTTTGAGATTGTGCGGAGGTGATAGAAGCAGGTTTGGGTGGTTTTATTGATGTGGGAGCGGAAGGTGAGGTGAGAATCAAAAATGACACCAAGGTTACGGGCGGAGGGAGTGATGTTTGAGGAAAGGGGGCCGAGGTGGGTTTGGATGTGGGATATAGATGGAGGCGGGTTGATGAGGAGGACTTCAGATTTGGAGGTGTTGAGCTGTAAAAAGTTGTGGGCCATCCAACGGTTCACATCGTTAAAACAGTCGACCATAGCAGCCAGACTTCCAGGGTCGTTTGGTCTCAGCGGGAGGTCGTCCGCATAGTGGAAGGACACGTTATGACGGGCCATAACGTGTCCTAGGGGGAGCATATAAATAGAAAATAAAATGGGACCTAAAATAGAACCTTGCGGCACACCACAGGTAAAATCACCCATGGTGACCGCAAAGGTTCTGTCTAAAAGATAAGAATGAAACCAACCAAGTGCAGTATCTCTGATGCCAACCCACGTTTTGAGGCGATCCAATAAAATCCTGTGGTCGATCGTGTCGAAGGCTGCGCTTAGGTCTAAAAGAATTAAAATAGAGCACCCTCCGCTGTCTGTGGTTAAAAGAAGGTCATTTAAAACTCTTTATTTATTCATTTTTTGATAAAATTATTTAAAAATTGTTCACACAGCTCAGTGGTTGCATCATTAAAAACAGCAGGACTGGGGTTTGTGATAGAATTTAAAACTTGAAAATAAAACTCTAGGATTTGAAATGTTTTGACTGATGGTATTTGAATAAAATAAGGTTCTTGCTTCCTTGACTACGTGTTGATATTGTTTGAGGCTGTCTTTCCAGGCGAGGTGAAATACTGTGAGTTGTGTCTTTTTCCATTTCCGTTCATATTGTCGGCAGGTGCGTAATAGTGTGCGAGTATTTTCATTGAGCCATGGTTGTGGTGTTCTGGTGGGGTTTCTTTGTTTAAAAGGTGCAATGGTGTCTAAAATCCTAAGTGATGTAAAAGGAGGAGACCTGCTCCTCCAGGCTAAATTCACCTAGGATTAAGACTTTGTTGTAGAGGGCCATACACTGGGATAAAAGATCGGAGAATTCTTGAATAAAAACAGGGCTGGGTTTAGGGGGTCTATAAATAATTAAAACAAACACAGGGATATTACAAGAAATGATAAAAGACAGGTGTTCAAATTAAGTAAAACGGGATAATTCTATCTAGGCTATTTTTTACTTTAAAATATTTATTTTGGTACAAGTAATTACAAAGTAATTACACCAGTCTGATTAGTGAATATAACTTCCTGCTCCCTTAGGCGGTAAAATCAGGGCCTCACGTACCCCCCAGAGGCCGAGTGGAGCAGCTGGAGGCCCCAGCACGAGGAGTAGGACAAGAGCGGAGAGAGTCCAGCAGGAAGACTTCGACCCCAGCGATCACCCCGTGTTGACTCTCAAAGGCCCCGGTCCTGGTGAGTTCAAAGAAGCACAACTATCAGTGTTCAAATAAAATCACGAATAAATTGTGACCATAATAATATCAAAACAATAACGCAGTGTGCTTGCAAAGCGCTTTTTGGCATTTAACACATTATTCATTCACTCCATACACAGTACAGTTACATAATGTGGTTTTCTTTATAGACTTATTTAGGGAGAAAATATATTCCTTTATGTTTTTTTCTATATTCCTCATTTAAATAAGCAATATGTAAGATTTTCATGTCAAGTCATATTTAAAGGGCCCTAACCTGTCATAATAATAAACTGCTCTTTTCAAATACTCCTTTAACTGATAGCAGTAGTTCAGAGATATTTGAATTTCTAAATTACTTTTCCAGCCCCTAAATCTTGTTATGTTTTCATTTCGATGTCGCGCCCTCCACCGTTTCACAAGTCAGAGTCTGGTGAGTCGAAGTCTGTGATCTGGGCGCCAGAACTCACCTCGTGGAGCTAATCTCACTGGTAAAGTACCATGAGGTGCAGAACTAAAAAAGGTCTCGTTATGATTCTCAAATTAACGACAAAACAAGGAATAAAACCAGGATTTCTATCTTTTTGAAAAAGGTGTTGGTTATAGATTTGCTGTTGACAAACTTGACCACTTTTGGTCACATTTTTACATACTGCTCCTTGTACAGAACATAAATGCATTCTTTAAGTATCATTTCTTGTTTTAGGGACATTAACCTATTTGATTTTGGATTGTTGTAGGGCAATTTGGGATTAAATACCTAAAGAAGAAGAAGATTGGAGCGGGTGGGTTCGGCGCTGTGTTTGCTGGAGTGAGGAGGTCAGACGGTCTGCTTGTGAGTTCATTCATGTCCACTCATACTGAATACTTTCAACATTATCATAGTATTGCATTAAAAAAAAAATACGACATTCTCCTCACCACAGTGGTAAGATCAGACCATTTCCATTTTCTTTTGCTGTGTCTGTTGCCGGATCGAGAGTTGTCAAAGCAGAAATGCCCAGACTTCTCTATTCATACTGTTACGGACAAAGTCCTTTTGGTTTTGGTATTTTTGTTTCTCCTTGCCTCCGCCTCCTCAGACCTCCCTCCCACTGACGTCTCACGATGCACCTGTGGGCTAATCACCTGGGAGGCATTAAAAGAGCTGGCTCCAGACCAGTCTCTCTCTCTTCCACTTGGGCCTGGATCCTGCGGCTGCACACCCGTGTGACCTTTTTGTGCATTTATTTATCTTTAAATAAACCTTGTTACTTTTTAGACCCCGGTTCCTGTCTATGTTCCACTCCCCGGTTTGTTTTGTGTTACTGAGTCACACTCTCTAGACTTCAGCGCCTAGTGGCTCGTAATACGTGGGGGCTCGTCCGGGATCCAGTGGAACTGCGGTGGGTGCACCAGGAGTCGTGCGCTCTGGGTGAGTCGCGTGTGCGTGTGTGTGGGTGCGTGTGACATTCAGTGGCAGTCAACTCCAAATTGACCCAGCTAGACTAGGGGGGTGTCCAGCTTGGTCGGTTTATTCGCCATTCCTTCGGGCATCCGTTTTTTGTTTTAGTTTATTATTTTCGGGACAAATCCTGGGCGGAGTGGATTCTCTGACGGGGGCTGCACGCCTCGAGCCCGGCAAGTCCCAGAAGATATTTAGGTTAAGTTTTTCCTGAGTAGGAGTCTGGGTCAATACCTGTGTTTGCACTGATTTAGTTCTGTTAAGGCACCCTGCATAACCTCTTTTCACCCGTGTGCGAGTGTGAGTGTGTGTGTGCGTAAGCTTTGAGCGCAGCTGTGTGCGGGCGCGTGCTTGGCACATCCCAGGAGGCGGGTCGAGTGGAGAGTGCCATCAGGTGTTCCAGTTGTGAGTGGGATCAACTGAGCAGCCCGGTGAGTGATGACTACGTTTGATTTGGAAGAATTCGTGGCTGAGCCAACGCACGTGGCGTTGGAGTTGTGTAGGAAAGTAGATTTGCTGGAGATAGCGCGACACTATGCAATCCCACTGTCCCCTGCGTTACGTGTGGGTGAGCTGAGGGAGGCTATCCCGTCAGAGTTGGTGGCCAACGGGGTTGTGGTATTGCCTGTGTCAAGCGATCCAGTGGCAGGAGCGGCAGTGGGAGATGCAGTGGTGTCCCCCGTGCGTCCTGGTGGAGAGCGCGTGGAGCAGCCGCAGCTGGGCTCTCCCGCGGCGCTGTTTGAGGAGGCTGAGGAGAAATCTCCTGGTTTAGGGTTGCGCTCCCCTCGCGATGTACGCGTGGATGTGCGCATTGCTCGTCTGAAGCACGAGAGGGAAAAAGAGGAGCGAGAGTTTCACTTGAAACGTGAAATTGAGTTGAGGCGTATAGAGGTAGAGGCTGCTACTGCTAGGGAAGTAGAGCTTCGAAAGCTGGAGGCTGACACCGCGGTAAAGATGCGGCAATTAGAATTGCATGCAGCGGGTCGCGGTCCAGCTCCCTTGTAGTTCGGTAAAGTTAGCTTGATATTCACAGATTCGGACTTCCGCGGTGAATATCTTACGAAAGCTACGTTGTTAAATGAAAGTAATTGTGCCAAAATGATCACCTCTACATGGGCTAACTACTACAACATCGATTTTTCTAATCCAATGCGCTGTTTTAATGCAGAGAAATCCATTGAATCCAATGCGCCGCAAGTGCCGAGAAAAGCACTTAGGGAGCGTCAACAAATGCCAATACCAGCTGTTAAACGAACAATAGTTTTTATTTTAAGCCAAGTACACACACTAAACTCTCAAATACTAGCAATAATGGCCATCTCTAACTACTACAACCATTGTTTTCAGCATTTATCTCTTTTTTATATCTTTTATGAATAAATAGGAGTAAATATGAATATGAATTTTGAATAGCTTTTTTTCTAAAAGGGGCGTGGTCACCAAATATTCAGGTATAATCAATAACTGCCATATCTAACTACTACAGCATTTGTTTCTTTTTTGTATCTTTTATGAATAAATAGGAGTAAATATGAATATGAATTTTGAATAGCTTTTTTTCAAAAAGGGGCGTGGTCACCAAATTCTCAGGTATGTTCAATAACTGCCATATCTAACTACTACAACCTTTGTTTTCAGCAGAAATATCTTTTTTATATTTTTTATGATTTAATCTTCAATAGCTTTTTTATAAATGGAGAAGAGACCTTTACCAGGAGTGTAAATTAGACAGACTGTAATGTTTTAAAATATTTATTAAAGAATGATTTGTATGTGAAGGTGCAGATCTGTAAAGGAAAAGAGTGTAAGTGAAGGTAATTCAATAAATGTACAACATTTAAATATACTTTTTTTCTCTTGTCTGCCCTCTTTAGGTGTTCCGGCCAAGCAAGTCCCCGGGAAGCCGGAGCACCTAAAGAGGATTCCGGGTGCCTCCACTCTGCTGAGAGGGGAGGGGTTTCCTGGATTTTATCTTTCCAATTTAGTATAGTTTTAGAAGAAATAAATCATTTGTAAATGTAATATAAATATATATTTTTATGTGGGGGTGTGTAATAATCAAATAATAATAGTAAAAAGAGTGTAAAATCCCTGCTTTAATTATCGCTGTCAGGCTGCAGCCCCCCCTCTAAACAGAAAGAGTGTTGCATGACATGCTGTCCAATGTAAATAAACCTGCACCTGGGTCCTCACTGGAAGCTGCCTTTGTTCAACTTTGTTCCTCCAACATCTTCATAAGTGCCATCCTGACATAACTTATCTAACTACAACCTTTGTTTTCAGCAATTATCTCTTTGTTATATTTTTTATGATTAAATATCAATCTTCAATAGCTTTTGTTCAAAAAGGGGGGCGTGCTCACCAAGTTCTCCAGAATGTGATAAGAGAGCAGCGATGTGTGAATTGCACAATGGTATGTGATATTTGATAATTGTATATACTATGTGTATTTGCATATTACTCATAAAATAATGAAATGTAATGCCTGTTACAGTAGAAAATTGTTTTATGTCTGTAGCAGTGGAACTGGACCACATCCAGCTTTGTGGAATCAGCTTTAACACCACTGACACTTCCATTCCATTTTTTGGTCCGGGATGTCTTCTTGGGCCATTGCTACGCACTCAATGTGGAACCATCCCTGGAAATTGTCACACTGAATCTGCATGAATATTAATGTTGGTCATTTAACACTCCTCTTAAAAAATTAAAAAAAAAGAAAATACTGCTCTTACCCAAGTAACTCCAGTTGCTGAGTTTTGGAGCCCACACAGCGAACATAAGTCTGACACTGTTTATAGCAAATACAATAAAAAGTTAATTGCAATAATAGTACAAATACAATAATTGTTTCAAAATTATAATGCTGTCACCACTCATTCTGAGAATCTCCTCAGCCATCTCCTTTCTCAGATTTCCCATGGCTTTTTTGGTTGTCTCCACTTGAATGCCCTTGGGGATATGAGGGAACGACATTGCCAAAACTTTAACCATCTACAAAGACATTCATAAAAATGGATATTAAGTGATCATGATATGTCAGTCATTTACTGCTATAGCTTGTTCTTTAGATACCTGCATGACAAAAACTCCACAGCTGACAGGATCTTGCTGGTGTGTGTGTGGAATGTTCCCTGGTTTCCATGTAATATGGATCCAGTCCTCCTTTCCCAAGCGATTCCTTCTCATTTTAAAGTATTGTCTGTGAAATACATAATAGATAGACCTAACATTAAGTGCCCTTTTATGATTATATGTATTTTTCATTTATAAATTCACCCAAATCTTAGAGCAGCCATTTGTGTGTCGTCTGTTTCTTTTAGTGTTTTTAATGGGTCCAGCATAAATATCTGTTGTGTGATAGCATTCAGATACTGGCGAGGAAAAAAGTAGTTGTTTATGATAAAGTTTAACTTTTTCACATTACTCTTTTACTTACCACTCACTTCCAGTGACACCCTGTGTTCACAAATCCGATGACTCCATCATAATCTTCAAAACAAACCTTAAAAAAAAAATTATATATAATCATCCCTGCTCTGGGAATGTTTAAATGCTGTTTTTTGTTGTTTTATGAAAAACTATAATATTCATGCTGAATACAACACAATTTATTTGACCATTGTGATTTTTATGAAGATCAGAGCACTCTTCATAACCAAATTATGCAGAAATACTAGAAATTGCTAAGGGTTCACATGCTCTTTCCTCCCACTGTATATCTATACATAGATATGTGGGTAAATACAAAGAGAGGGTGATAGAATGAAAAAATGCCACAGAGATAGATGGAGATATAGGTAGAAAAAGATGGCGAGGGAGATGGAGGGCTAGGGCTCCCTGGGGAGGTGTTCCGGGCACGTCCCAGGACACACTGGAGGGACTGTGTCTCTCTGTGGCCTTGGGATGCCTTGGGGTTCCCCCGGATGAGCTGGAGGAAGTGTGTGTGGATGGGGAAGTACAGGCGTCTCAGCTTAGAAAGCTGCCCCCGCGACCGGCAATGGATAGAGAGGAAGCATAAGGTAGATGGAGTTCTCAATTTACCTTTCTTAAGCCCTGTCTTGACATTTCCTCCCGTGTTCCAAATAAAATCTTTTGCAAGGACTGATGGTTTGGTTGATATAATCGATTTTCCACATCCACAGAATTAAGTGTTGCTCTTACATAACACTCGATAACCTATTGTAGAGAAAAATATTAAACAACGTATGTGTCAGTTTACATGTTTGTCTATGTGAGTCTGTGTGTGTGTGCATGCGTGTTATTGGTCTTGCCTCTCCAATGATGAGCTCATGGGGCTTTAGAGAGAGAAGTTCTTGTTGTCTCAATGTGAATTTTAACTTCTGCCTTGTATTGACCAGTATAGCCACAATTCTTTCTGTTGTTTTTTGGTTCCAAAGACTTTCCAACTAATAGGGGAGAAAAAAAATGCTCAGACATTATGTAATATAATATAATATAAATATAGAAATATGCTGTTTAAAAACATAATTTAAAAAAACCTGTAGCTACCTTTGACTTCTTGGGGAGAACTTGCAATCCTTCTGGGGCAGCAGGGACTTTGGCTCCTTTTGGGGCAACGGAAACTTTGGTTCCTTTTGGGGGAATGGAAACTTTGGTTCCTTTTGGGGCAACGGAAACTTTGGTTCCTTTTGGGGCAACAGGGACTTTGGTTCCTTTTGGGGCAACAGGGACTTTGGTTCCTTTTGGGGCAACAGGGACTTTGGCTCCTTCAAGGGCAGTGGTCTTGTGAGCTTCTTTGGGCACGGGTATTTTATTTGGTGCAGAAAAATATTTAGATTTTTTTTTTTTTTTTTGGATCCTTCTCTTTTTGCCCAATTTTCTTGTGATTGTTCGATATTCTGTCTTTTTGAGGTGCAGACTGGCCTTTCTGAGAGTCTGTGTTGCAGGATGTGCTCTCTGTATCTTCCACGCAGAGAGCTGTACATCATCCGAACAAATGCCCCAGCCCTAACTCTCAGCTTTTTCTTCATTATTGAATTTTTTACAATCCCAAACCACCTTTTGACGTGACAGTTTGTGTCCCTCGTCTTTTTAATTTCATTTGACTTCTCACTTGCCTCTTCTGTATCCTGCCCTTTGTCCGAGGCATATCTCCTCAAATCCCCAAGAAGCACACCACTCCACAAAGGGAAAATTCCTAAGTAACTCTTGAAAAGGACGTCCAAAATCCCCGGGCAGTAATAGGAGTTTGACTGACTAGGAGTTTGACTGACTGCCTGATTGTTTTCATTTCTAATGTCTTCTTCAGCCTCCTTCAAAACATTTAGAAAATGAAAATGAAATGGTGATCCTTTCAGAACCTTTCCCATGTCCTTTCCCATGTTGACCTCTACCTCTTTGCTGCTTTCACCCAACAACTGATTATTTTTCTGTTCTGTGATGGTAGTCTCCAGATTGGATAAGTGTTTTTTGAATAGTTCTCCATTGTTTTTTGACAGGAAAACGATACACATTGATCTGAAGATGGTGACCGCTGTCCCTAATGATGTGCAGTTCTGAATCCTGGCAAAGACAAAAGTGGCAAACATCTTTAGGCCTTTGTCAGAGGTTTTTTGTCCAATTGAGGTTACAGTAGGTCCCATTCCGTTTTGTCGTCTTCATTCACGCTTCTCGGGAATCACGCAGCTGCGTGAAAAATAGTACATCTTATCGCCACAAGGTGGCAGGCTAAGTCCGCTTTAGCTCTGCCAGCGACTTAGACGCTCAGGTATAACACTGCGTGCAAACCTGTCTAACCCAGAGGTGCTATGTTGGCCAAATGGATAACATTAGAGACTGGGACCTGGAGAACCCAGGTTCGATTCTTGTCTGAAGCACATCTTTTGGTTGCTTGTGGCAAAATTGTTTTTTCATTAAACAATTATTATATAACATCTTGTCTTTAATGTCTGAAAAAATCGAGGTGAAAGGTTGAGGTTTCTATCGAGGTTTCTATTGAATGCTATTTCTTTCTTTATAATCTTTATCTTTATAATACGAAT